GAGAGGTATTGCTATGGGCTCTGGGCCTCCAGCTGGATTCATGGGAGGCATCATTATGGGCTCTATTCAGCTGGACTCATGTAGGGCATTATTTTGGGATCCAGGCCCTCAGCTGGATTCCTGGCCTATGGCGTATGGACAGATTTCCTGCACTCTCTTATGTATATCATTCTTTGGGTGACTATTATAAATAATCTTATAAAATATGTGTCCTGTATTGTATTTTTCCCCTTGCAAAAATAACCTCCAAACCAAAACAGGCACTTACAGAAGATAGTCCTGTAAAGAGGAGCCTATTTGTGGGTTGGAACAAAAGTGACTTCATCCTGGCTGGAATACACCAGGTTTATCTTATAATGTCAAAGCCAGGGAGACTGCAAAGCTCTCAAGACCCCTAGAGAGGAGTGCCAGGGCCAGAGCACTAGGGACAGGTCGGAGTTCTGGAGTAGAAAGAGCAGAGGGAGAGTCAGGCCAAGATGCGCAGCAGAGGGCCTGGTGGGAAGCTGCATTTTCCCCGGGAGTAATGAAGAGCCGATGCAGGGCTAGGAGTTGGAGCATGAAAGCCCCTTCACCCAATAAAAGTTTGCTGTGGAACTCCGTATTGTCTGTACTGTTCTTTTGCTATTTTGTAAAATGTTGTCTGTCTGTTAATGTTTTCCTCCTTTTATTTAAAAAAAAAAAAAAAGTTTGCTGTGGGGCTGGGGCGTGGCTCTGTGGCAGAGTAGTTGCCTAGCATGTGCAAGGCCCTGGGTTCTATCCATAGCACCACAAAAAAGTAAACTAAAATTCAAAAATACAAGCTCACTGTGTGAGAAACTTTCAGACAAGCCTAAATCGAGAGACATGCTGCAGAAAATAATGGGACCACATGTCTCAGAAATGCCGAGGTCATGACAAACAAGACAGACCAAGGAATTATCCCAAGGTAAAGGAAACTAACAGGGTGTGACCACAAAATGGAGTGCATGATTCAGACTTTAATTTTAGGACAATAGACAGAATGTAAATAAGATCTACAGAGTACCTAATAGTTCTGCATCAAGCCTGTAGTCTTGGGCCATCCTACACTGGCCACAGGAGGGAGCATTCTTGTTTGTGGGAAAGTCCAACTGGGGCATTTGGGAGTAAAGGGACATCATGCCTGCAATCACTCTAGTATTTTAGAGAAAATATATATACAGTTGTCCCTCAGTTTCCATGAGGACTCCCCCATGGATACCAAAATCTGGTGATGCATAAGTCCCTTATGTAAAGTGGCATAGTATCTGTATATAATCCACATCCATCTTCTCACATACTTTACATCATCTCTTGATAACTTACAGTACCTAAGATAATATAACACTATGTAAAAAGCTGTTAGACTATGCTATACTGTTTAGGGAATAATTGCAAGGAACATTTTGTACATATTCAATACAGAGACATTTTTTTTTTTCTATTTCTGGTCTGTGGCTGGTTAAATTCATGAATGTGGAGCCTCCGAGTCCAGAAGATGAGCATAGACACAGAGACACAAAGGGCCAGGTAACCGTGAGGAGCTGAGCGTGGGGCACAGGGAAAGTCCTTGTGCTGTTCTTGCAACTTTTCTGTGCGTCTAAAATCCACGTTAAAATAAAAAGGCCAGGCTGCAGTGCGGAGAGCTGGTTCAGAAGGGGTGAGGGTGGGTCTGGGGGAGCATGGGGAGGGGTTATCCTCCACAGAGTAGGAGGGAAAAGGGGTGACAGGGACATGGCAGTGGCAGTGGCAGTGGAGGTAGGGATCAGGAGAAACTTTAGATGGAGTCTGCCTTCTGGGTCCACTGGTTCTGTACCCTTCGATTCAACCAACCGCAGATGGGGAAAAAAAAAATGCAAAAGTAAAAATCTTTTAAAAACAATGTAGCATAAGCACAATTATGCCTTGACATTGTATTAGGTATTATAAGTCATCCAGAGACAATTTAAAGTCTATGGAGGAGGTAGCCTGGTTATAAGAAAGTACTCCCCAATTTACATGGGGACTTGAGCTTCCATGGGTTTGGGGATCCAAGAGGAGTCCTGGATCCATCCCATGCCACCCTGAAGGATGACTGTATATTCTGAAAGTAGAGCATTGGGACCTCCTCGGGGGCTGGCCTTAGGGGCTGGAGGAGAGATGCCCTTTCCCAGGATGGGAGACACTGGGGAAGGGAAAGTGCCTTTCCTCTTAAAAGGAAGAGCCAATGACATGGAGTCTGGGGCTGTGGAAGTTGATGGCTCATTCAGGAGTTTAATGTGGGAAAGAGACAACAGGGAATATTTAGAAGTTTCTTTATTAGAATTTTTTAAAATAGTAATGGAAATTGAACCCAGGACCTTTGCACATCCCCAACCACTCCCCTTTTCTTAAGATAGGGTCTCACTAGGTTGCTAAATTTCCCAGGCTGAGCTCAAACTTGCAATCCTTCTGCCTCAGCCTCCAGAGTATAGATGTTTCTTGAGAGAAGAAAGGAGTTTCATTTTAAGCCCTAGGGGGTGAGTGATTGACAAGAACCTTCTATTAAGTGCTTCCGGGGTAAGAGGCACTATTCAAGGCCTTTAGATGCATTATCTGTTCTTCTCACACAAGCCTTGTGAGATACACATCATCATCCCTGTTTAAAACATGCTGAAACTAAAGCTCCGAGAGGTGAAGCTACTTGCCCAAGGTCTCAGGGTAGCTCTTGAGGCCAGTCTATCCCTGGCTAGAAAGTCTCCCTGGGAATTCCTGTGTTCTCTCACATTTTGTCCTGCTTTCTGCAGGACTGAGGCCTCCCACTGAAGGGAAGCCGTGCAGCTGTTTTTTCCTGACAGCTGTGAGGCCACTCTCCAAGGGAGGGAGTCTAAGGGCCGCCAATTCAGCCCCTTCCAGGAAAGAGCCCCTGAATTACAGGATTCCACCCACCCCTACTCCTCTGACATGCAAAATCAGACCCGGTGGCTCCCTTCATTCTCCTTTTCTCCTTCCCTGGAAACGGCTCCCAAGAGGCTGGGGCTCCGCATCCTGAGGCTTATCTACTCCCTGGATGGGCTCCCACTTGTACCGCCCCCGCTTGCCATTGTTGTCGGTGGAGACTGGTGAGTGGCGATGGCTATGCGTCATCAAGAGCCCACGGGGGACCAGGTTTTCTCCATGCACTGGTTTTGGTTTCCACAGGATCCAGTGCAGTTGACATTCCCTGCTTGTTTTCCATCCAAGGAACTTAGAGTGCGGAGGGCTAAAGGAACCTGTTTGGAGGTCAAGGAACTGGCACGTGGCTATGCCAGGATTCAGCTGACACGCCAGCGCAAAAAAACATTTTGTTTCCATTGTTGTTTGCAGTGCTGGGGATCGAGTCCAGGGCTTCTTGCATAGTAGGCAGGCGCACACACACACACACACACACACACACACATGCACACGCACGCATATGCACACATACACACACACACACACACACACACACTCCACCACTGAGCTACACCCCCAACCACTTTTTGAATGGACTCAAAACCGCTGGAGAGCCTAACCACAGAACTTCGTTCTGCCTCTGAGCTTCAGGGTCGTGAGCGCTTCAGGGTCATAAGCGCAGGCCAAGCTGAAAGGCGCAGAAGGTTTGGCTCCCTGGCTCCCATTCCTGCCTTTAGCTCTGACTGTTCTAACACAGCCTCACCCTACCACACCCAGCCCAGCCCTGCCCAGGCCAAGGGCACAGCCTGTAAAATGCCCTGCTTTGCATCCCACCTTCAGCCTGCTTTTCCTCTGGGCAGCCTTGGGCTGGGAGGAGGAAATGGGAGGTAGGGGCCAGGCGGGTGGGTGGGTAGGTGTGACTGCAAGCAGCTGGGCCAGAGCAAAGAGAACAGCTCCTCAGAGGGCTGGAAAGCTTGGCATGCCGGCTGCTTCAAGCTCCAACACATTCCTGTGCACATGGTACAGCCTAGAAAAACAGGGTACTTATGCTCTGTTCCGTGGCGAGGTATTAGGCCCATGGCCTGTCTGACTGCTGTGACAAGCAGCCCCTTCTCTTTTTGCCTTAACACAATAAAGGTTGTTTAGATTCTTGTCTTGTCTGTGTTTGTTGCATGATGTCTAGGAATTACTTTAAAAATCTTCAGCAAATGATTTAAAAAGTGGGACGGGAATGGAAAAGGTGATAATTTTTTGAAGTTAAATGACGGATGGCTAAACTGAGTTATTATATTATGCTCTCTACTTCTTTTGTATATTTAAACGTTGATGTATGTTTCTCCCTCACACACAGTTGAATGTCCACGTTCCTGACCCGTGGCTCTCCTGGGTAGCTTTCCTCCAATGGCTGCTCTAAGACATTAGTCTCTTCTGTCTTAGGGTTCCCCCACCATCTTGTGACTTGAAGGTCATCCTGGTGTCATCCAAAGAACAGACTGGGAAAAAGAGAAGATATCTTGCTTGCTACTTAACACACCATACTGACAGGGCTGGGCACCTTTGGGCTCACAATGCATTGGTAAATACTGGTCACATGATTAGCAAGGGATGCTGGGAAATGTTGTTCCTTGGGGAAGGTACTTCTCAACACCACCACCACATCATGTAAGGAAAACTTGAAGCTTTGTTGGTCAGCTGATCATCTGGTCTATACTCACTGTGTGCTGGAAGTAGCGGTGTCAAGTATGATGCCCAAAGGGTGACCTGATCACTGTGAGAAGGTAAGAAAAAATTGATAAGGATGAACTTTGGAGTTGTTGCTATAACACTTCCAAATTTGTTCCATGATACCTATAAAACAGTCCTGGCTCATACAGAGAAGGAAGGTGGTAGAGAGGAAATACATCATCACCAGAGCTCACTGGGCATCTGTCTTTCAGCACACTGGGGTCCCATCACAATATTTATCCTTCATATCAAAAATAGCAAGGGAATTGTCTTGCAAAATCTTACCACTGGAGAGAATGGACACGATGCATAGGGAGCTCTCTCAGTTATTTCCTGAAATTGTGTATGAGTCAACAATTAGCTCAACAAAAATCTTAATGGAAAGGGAAGATGGTAAAGAAAAGACCCTAGGATGTGAAAGATGCCCCTAGATGAGCCCAAGGCCTGTGCCCTGCTTCCCACACCCTCCAGCAAGGTTGTTCCAATCAGCCTGGTACTTGCCGCCTTACTTAGTTCTGTGTCCTATAGAATGGTGCCCAGTCCCACATCCTCGTCGGACACCATCTCTACCCCTCCCTGTCTGCCTCCCACACATACCTCAGTCACTCTGAGCCCTTCACTGTGCCTTCTTCCCTGTGCTGGCCCTTTGAGCCCCACGGCACACAAGGAACATTCCCACTGGTGTTTGAGACCCCTCTGCCTGCAGTGTCTCCTCCTCTTGGTTCTGAGATCCTCCTGCTAGAGTTTATCCTCACTCAGTCTCAGTTTTCGTTGTCTGCCTCAGTTTGTGGGTCTTTCTCTCTTGCCCAACTGTGAGCTCATTAGGTGCAGGCACTATGCCCCATTCATTTTGATGTTTCTGGCTCCCGGGATAAGGACTGGGAAGAACTCATTCTCACTAAAGTGTTAATGATTGGCTAGGTAGTAGTCAGCGTTCTCCAGAGGCACAGAATCAATAGAAAATTATGTATAGTTATGCAAGAGGATTTATTAGACAGGCTCACAGGGTCAAAGGCAGGAGAGTTCACAGTGGCCATCTACACATTAGAAAGCCAGAGGAGCCAGAAGTTGCTCAGCCCAAAAAGATGAAAGCCACAGAACAAGAGAGATCAAGGTTGTTTGCCAGGCCAAGGTCAAAGGCCTGGAAGCTCACTGGAAGGTCGCCAGTGAGAGTCTGTTTTGCGAGGTGGAAGAAATTGGAGACCAGTGTTCAAAGGCGACAGAGAAAACTGGAGCTCTTCAAAAACAAGAATGCTTCCTTCTTCCCCTGCTTTACTCTGTCCAGGCTACAAGTGCATGGGCTGGTGCCACCCACATCTGGACTGGCTTTTCCCTTTCAGTTTGCTGTCAGTCATCTGCAGACAACCCAGAACTGTGCTTCACGAATCTATTAGGTGTTTCTTAGTCCATTCATGTTGACATATCATGATTAATGGTCAGAGGCTAGAGGGAGAAATCAATGAATGAGAGATAACGGGATGGGGAAAATAACACTGTCATCTATGTGTCTCATAGACTCGCTGGCAAGTGTAATGGTCTTTGAATGGGGGTGAGGAGTCACTTTCATGCCAGTAGTCTGACCCACCTTCAAACCACCAACTTCACTTAACCCAACAGATCATTCAAGACCCTGGCCAGGCATTACAGTGAAGAGGGACAGGAAAGAGATTTGTCATTGGAGAGACACTGGGTCAGAGCAGCCCTTCTTCCCCTGGGAATCTTTTGTGAATGCTCCATAGGGACCATACTGTTGGTGGCTACCAGTCCAGGCTCCTCTAATGATTAGGACCTTGAAAGCAAGGAGCTGTGGGGAGTTGCCACTGTGTAGATCTAAAGTGGTCCCCAGAGCCTCCTATGTTTGGAAGGTGATTGGAGTATGGGGCATTATAGCTGACTTGCTATCGGAGGTGAGGTCTGGTTAAGTGGTGGGTCACTGTGGGCATGACCCGGAAGGGTGCATCTCCCTTCCTGGATCCTTCCTTGACTCTCAGCTTCCTGACCCCCATGAGGTAAGCAGCATTCCTCCACCAGGCCCTTTCACCATGCCTCTGACCATGCAAGGACTAAAACTTCTAAAATGTTAGTCATTGGAGTATTTCCCTTGTCACCTTGTCACCACAAGATGCAGAGCAGCAGAAAGCTCAGACTGGGTGTTTACAGGTACAGGGCAAAGTGCCAGGATTGCCTCTTCCTCTGCTGTGCAGCACCTTCGAAGTTCACAGTGTTGAACAACCAGTGCCATTCTTGCACACCCACTGTGTGCCTGGCATTTCACATCCATTGTCTAATTTAATCCTGATAGAACTTTTCAAAGGAGAGACTCTCATTATTCACATTTTAAAACTATTAGTATTTATTCTTTTTCTTTTTCTTT